ACGAGAACGAAGAAAACAAAGACCGGCAATGTTTTTCTGTCTACCGCAGCAAGGTGAAGGTTTGCCTCTGCCCCCTGGTTCATTTCGACTTATTTACTCCCACCCCTCCTTTTTCTTTTCAACTCCTCTTTTTCTTTTTAATCTGCTTTCGGTGGGGACTATTTTTAGACGGCGCCTGACCGACTAGCTTCCTGCAGGCCACGGATAGCAAAATGTTAGAAAAGAGAAAGAGACAGAGGGAGGTGGGAGGAAGGAGTTGAGGATGGCAAAGACGGGCTGAATGGAAAGAAGAGGAGGGGGAGTAAAAAAGATTGATAGAAAGAAATGAGGAAAAAAGGGTGTTTTCTAAAGGGGGGGAGTGGCAGGCGAGTGAAAGCGATGGGGAGGAGGAAAAAGTGAAGTTTTTTCAAACAGAGGAGGGGGTGTCTTTGAAACGACCTGCTCCCTTAGACACGACTCAGACAATATGACGTCATCGGAGCCCTGACTCTGTGACGTAAAACTGCTGCTCACGAACTCTCCGTCTCCCTGTCGATCAGTGCGAGTGCCCCCCCCCCTTTCTTTTTTAACAGATAAAACCCTTCACTTTACTGCAATCTGTATCGAGGCTTGTGTTTGTCTGCAGTTAGAGCAAAAAATAAGTATATATAGGTCGGAAAGATTTACTGGTTCTAACGACTTTGCGTCTTTGCCCTCTGATTAACTTAAGATATATACAAACCAAAAAATAAGACACTAGAAAGTCAAAAATTATGGCACTTTTTTAAGCATATCCGACACACAACTTTCCCCCCCAAAGAAACTTTTGACGTTTGTTTATAGGAAGAACACAGAAGAATAGGAAGAAACACACGCTCACAACAGACTCACAGCAGCGACCATGTCTTGTAACTCATGCCCTGATGAACATTACAAAAATATACATTTCTGTACAGCATTGCATAAGAAAAATAACACACGCACGCACACATGCGCTCTACATGCTCACTTGTACTGTATTTCTTTTCTTTTTAAAAACTGATTTATAAGTCCTGTATAGCGGCTGACAAAAACCATTCTGCATGTTTGTGTTTACAGTTAGAGTTGCTATGGTTCATTACAATTGGCTATGATCCCGGGCACACGCGTTAAACCCACACACACACACATACACAAACACACAGTGAGTGGTCGCTCCACTCCTGTCCCAGGAATGGTAGACTGAGTAGTGGCATATTCACAGATGAGTCTTATTAATTGTTAAAACAACCGCTTGATGGACATGCCAGATGGGACAGTTTATAAAATACATCTGGAATTCACAGCAACTGATTAGTTGTCGCTGTGTTTGGATTTCAGCAGGCTTGTTATATTTATATATAGCAATTAAATATATATTTATATTTAAGATTTTATGCAGAGTTGGATGAAATGAACATTGTGAGTTTTGCTTTAGTTTTTTGGACACCCAAAAACTCCCTAAATAGTACTGTGAAAGTGCAAAACTGAAATCCTTAAATTTCAATCACAGCTTTTCAATTGGACACTTAAGGTCACCAAATATTTAAACACAATGAGAATTATGTTTGTTTTTTTTTTTGTTTTTTTTAAAAAAAGAGATTACATCTTTAGGCTTTCGTCACACAAAAAAGAAAAATTTATGTGGTTTTATTTCATAAAATATGTGATTAATATGTAACTCACTGAGATGCTAGCGCTAGTTGGCAACCTGCTAATGCCAATTAGTCACAATATTTCTCTAAGCATCTGTTTTCTTCATCTTTAATGGGCTATTTACACCATGAGTTTTTCGTTGTTTAAACTGTATATAATTCAATTGAATAAAAAGAGTTTGTGAAGGCAAAGGAAGTAGTTGAAGGTAGCTAGCCTATTAATAGCTAGCAAGCTAGTTAGCAAGGTAGCTAACAGGATGCTAGATTCATGGATATTAGTACAGTACTTTTAAACCAAGATGGCTACAAGACGAGGCTTTAAAACAGGACTTTTTTTTTAAAGAACTCCTGCCAGGGTGAAGACTTTCAGAAACTTTGCTTCTGCGGCTACATGTGGACAAGAAAAACTGAGCTTTTGTTTCAGAGCATCAAAGATATTTATCTTTATCTCTTTAGCCATTATCTCCTTTCTGGACTCTGTTTATAGTAACCATTGTCCTTAATGTAAATATGTAAGAAAACTGTGTATGCTTCTGTTCTGTGTCCTGTGTACTGTTTGTTGTATATGTGTCTTTCTGGCTGCTGTTACAACCAAATTTCCCCTTGTGGGACAATTAAAGGATTATTCTATTCTCTATTCTATGTTATTGTTTGTGAGCTTTGACTTGCCAACATTTCCATATGGTTAGGGTTATGGATATCCTTCATCCTCTTGATGGAACTTGAGTACAGAGATATTTTTGGAAACAAACTTGAAAAAATCCCTGTTTTTAAAGATATCCATGTGCATGTGGACGTAGACTAAGTAATGTGGCGTTCACTAATTTAAAAATTTCCATGGTATCATTGAATTCCACATTTAGATATGTTGCTGTTTGGATTTAGGAAACTGTAGGAATGTCATAGCTTATACTAAGTCTACTTTTGATTGTTTCCACATTATGTCTCATAGTCAGATTCCCTATGGAGAATATGAATAGGATTTTCACTTCCTGAAAGTCATTGCTGAGCTGTATTTGAGTCTTTGGGAAAATGGTGCTCGCCTCAGTTTCCCTGTGACCTCTGCAAACACTCTTCTTATGAGTTTATGGTCTCAGTTCCTAGCTTCAGGTCATAGTGAATAAAACGTGAATGCCATTTTGTAAATTTTGGTCATTCTTATATAGTTAAAAAGGAGAGTCATCCAGGATTTGTCCATTGGTTGAAATCCTCAACATGTGTCATCAGCCAATGAGCCAATCCTTTATTAGGTTTCTTTATAATGGCAAGAGTTCAAAACAGGGCTTCATAAACCAATAGGTGATGTCACGTGGCTACATACATTTTTTACACTGTTTATGTTTTCCTGTTTTCTTCCTCATAAATAAGTGCTGAACAGATTAGAATGGTAAATGCTGGTGTTCCCATGCCGTATCTGGAGTCAAGACAATTTCAAATGTTGAAATTTTTAGGTGGCCTTACAGAATCTAAAACAAGCCTCAAAATTTATTTCCCTTCAATCCAGTTCTGCTTCATGATTCTCTAATAGGTTTGATTAGCCTTTAAGAGGAAAGAAGATGGGTTTAAAAGCCACATCCCTGCTAGTGCAGGTCTTCTTTTACTATTACAATTAAAGGGCCAAACTGTACCACTGGCAACACTGGCCGTCTGTTAGAAACCGTACCGGATGTGACATTATCCTCACCTAATTTGTGACTGCTCTGCATGTCCCATCTAGCATATCCAAACACAGGTGACTAGGCAAGTCTCGCATATCATTGTGCATACAAGAGAACTGTGTGCCAAAAGGATCCGCATCAGTTTCCTGTGTGAAATAGATTCATTCAACTCTTGTGCGTGGATATGTTTCACCCACCCTCGCGCACTGCTGCGGTTCACCGAGTGCCAAATTTCATCCACATCATGCTTCCAGCCTCGGAGTAATTGAAAATATTTCACTTAATAATTGATGCAGGTGGTTTACCATTAGGCAGTTCCATCAATGCAGTGATTGAGCAAAAGAGAGAGGAAGGGAAGAGGTCGCACCGGCAACTTGTTCAACTGGTGGTTTTATAATTAAATTATCAAATTAGTAAAATGGCTGCAGATGCATTTTATTTTTGGAGGTTTCTGTCTGCAGTAGATGAGCTAAGAATAGAAATTGAGCATTTATTTACTCATTAGGTTTTCCATGCTTTTTGGAAAACCCCGACCAGGCAGCCAGGATCATATTTCTTTCCAATAAAACCCAATGTGCCATTTGTTGCCTTGAAACATTTACTTTGAGTTATTCTGCAAATCTTCCAAAGCCGACCGCTTCTCTTTCTCTCTCCATTTCTTGCTTGTGGCTTTTTGTACACAGCAAAACACAGTTGGACATTATTGCGAAGGAGTTTTTGTTGTTCCAATAAGGCCAAAACCAAACAAATAGAAATCAAAAGAAGACACAAGAGAGTCTGCCGTTTCCAAAGGAAATCGTTGACAGAAACTCGTGTGGCTGTTGTTCTGCTAACAACTGCTGCAAAAACAACTGATTGTTGCTTCCTGCCAAGAAAAGTAGAAAATACTTCTACTCTAAGCTTTAATTTACATCATAGAAAAAGAAAATACCTGCTTCTCCTGTGCGCCATTTTCAGAGTTTCATTGAACACGTGTGTTTTTTGCTTTCACGCCATAATGTTGTGATTTATTTGGTAGAAAGCGTTGAATTTGGAAGTGACTCCCTGTAGTTACACAGTTTTTTTCCTGTGCTGAGTCTTACTGTTGCAGTTTGAAACTACAGCCCAGTTTCCATAAACTATTTTCCCAAAGCCAGCACACCTCCCACACATGTATATGAGCAGCATGCCAGCAGCTTAGTCATTGAAACTCTCTCCGAGGTTGCTCTGAGGAACACGAAAGTGAAAAGTATCTCCGTAGATCATTTAAATACAGATTGAGGTTGGCAATAAATCCCTTCTCCAACTCATCCTCACAGCATTCTCTGTACATTAGGCCAGCTCCCTGTACCATTCCTGCTCAGATATTATTATCATTAGCTGGATTTACGGTGCATGATGCCCTTTCAGTGGGGAAATAACTTCATCCTGATTGGGTGCATGGTGGACGTGACCTGAGGTTGCGTTAAAGCGCGTCTCGCCTGGCGTTTCTATTTCACGCCACGTCACCTCACCTCTCTTGCTTCTCATTAACCTGCCGAGCCTTCAGAGGTGGCCCGCGGCAGAGCTGCACTGCTTCTTCAAGGCGGGGCGAGACTGTGTGCATGTCTGCAGAAGGTACCCAGCTACTGCTGACAGGCTGCACATAGGAAAATTAAAATGGAAGCCAGAGAATTTTTTGCCAAAAGGGGCCTTGGTTCCCTCCTAAAAAATAGACTTTTGCCATTTCCCCTGAATCTATGACATACATCTATGAGTGTTTAAGTGTAAGCATTACAAATATTTAGCAATAATACAAAACACATCCATTCTTAATTTATTTTCAGAGGTGCAAGAATGGCAAGTATGACTTAAAACGTAGCGTAGCCGACCAAAGCTGCCCCCGATGAAAAACGACCTTTTCGATATGGATTGTGCTCAGCTCAGCTAATGTAAAATCAATTGGGCTGTGGAGCCAGAGTGCCGTCTAACTTTAGAGCCGCATGGCTAAAACAGCTTTATGGAGATTGCAGAAAAACACAGAGGTCCTGTTCGCCTCAGAAAAATATCAGCTGCTCTCACCTTTCCCGGTGACGACGGGAATTTCTGCTGATTGCAAACACGGGGACAGAGAGGACGGAGTCATGGTGGCATGGCAGGACCCTGAGTGGATTTTTTTGGATCATTTGAGCATGACTGGAGTAATTTTTTAAAGCTTCTGTTTTGATTGACTGACCCCTGGAAATATTTTAAGATTGATATCGAGGCCGATATTTAAATACATTCATGATTGTGCATTATAGACAGAGTTTCCATCAGAGAAGTAATTTAGCCATGTTTCTGGATCTTTAATCCAGTTTTAAAGTTTTTTGATAGTTTTTTATGTGTCGAAACATCAAACAACAAGAGCATGCTAAAAAGACACTTTGGCTAAAATAACGATTGTAGCTTTTATCTAAAAAATAATTAAAAACTGGCCTGACAGGGGTCAAATTAGGCTTATAATATGCTGGTCTTAAACAGTGCTGAACTTTTACCATAGCTGTGTCTCAGATACTTCCATACTTTGTATTTCAAGCATAAAAGTAAGTTCAAACAGAACTCAGAGGGTCACAAAACTGAGTAATGCTACGTGCACTTTGAAAACAATTCGCTTGACGCACATCGCTTTGAAGCTGACAGCTTATAGGTGTTCCAGGCTGCGGTTGCCTAGGTAACCCTCTAACTCATTTACTAACAGGTCATATGTGTCCTGTGTTCTTATTAGTTCACATTGGTAGTCCCTTCAGTCGCTCGCCTGGGCTTTAAAAAAAAGATTATCTCAGATCTCATCCACTTTACGTTGCTTGCAGCTGTTTCGCCCATAGTTGCTAAGAGTTGCGAAATTTTCTTCGCTTTCTATGGTGTGTGTTCACCACGTCGATGCAGACACTTCCAGTGTGTATAGCTTAGGATGATAGATCATCAGAAATTTTGTAAACAGCAGAAAGCTGATACATTGTAAGGAACTATGTCAGGCCAATTCTGGCTGGCCAGCTAAATAGCTAGGAGCAAACATTTATTATGCACTTGCAGTACAGTGCATAATAGGTGTGGCGTTCTTTACCCTTCTTCTTCAAAATAGTCGCCATTTTTCCCGTGTAATAAAAGAACAGGACCCCTCAGAAAAAATCAATACATTAATACAACAATGACAGGCCAGCTAAAGAACGAGCAGCAAATCTTTAGTACGCTTTGATGTGGTATAGTGTTATTTACACTTTCCACCCCAAATAATTGCTGCTTTTGCTACATGGTAGAAGAAATGGCCAAAACATTTCAGACAGCAATACGACAGAAAGGAAATACATTCCAAGCAACGATGCTAGCTCCCAATGCTAGCTAGCCAGCTAAATAGCATTCACGAGACCAACTTTGGTTTGCTTTACTTATTTATGAGAGTTAAATCAATTTCATTATTGCAGAGGAATCTTGTCGTATGTGCGGTCAGCTGCTAAGGGAGTAGTAAATGTTCACAGATTGCAGCAGCTAGTGGGATAATCACTGTTATACACTGACAGTGATACTGATGCCAATATTTGGTTATTTAAAAATCTGAAATTCCGATATATATTTCAAAAAAAATTCTGTCAGACACATGAAATCTAAACAGACTTTTTAAACATTTGTTATATGTAGTTATTTATTTACCCGTTTACGCTCTGCCTGTCTCTGTCTGAATCAGTTGATTGTCATAATTTGTGGTGTTCCAAACACATGTTGCCAACAGGTTACTTGCAGAGTGCCCTCTGGTGGACAAACCTCCAACACTTATAACAAGTTTGAAGTTGGAGTTTCTCCCATCAAATCTTTGTTAAATTTTAATTTATCAGCCGTTTTAAACAACAATACCAGTAGATCGCCAAAAAGCTGATTATATCATCCCACTGATAGATCAGTCAGGCTCCGATCAATGTCCGGTCATCATTTCTGGAAAGTATACAGCTTGCTGTGGTCAGTTTGAAATAACATTACCACGTTTAATTTTAAACACTATGCAAGTAAGGACATAGCGTAAAATGCAAAGTGTATGGAAGTATCCAAACCAAGACATAAGGTTTGCAGATGTTAGCTATTGATACTAATCATAAATGTCTTTTGTGCTCTCTTGTGCCACAATGATTAACTAGCACTATTAATGTTGTTCTGCATGTCTTTTTGAAACTGAAGCAATCACATAACAGAAGAGTTTTAGCAAAACCAAATTTTTAAATACCTTTATCCATCCAGGGGTGGACAAAAGGGTGAAAGAAACTCCAATCATGCTGAAATGCTCCTTTAAGGCCCGTCTCACATTTCCCCATAAAGAGGGTGTAAAGAACAGCGTAGCCTACTTTCCGGCGCTCTCCCTCCCCGCAGCAGAGAGCATTCCCAGGGTAGCAGCGCTCTGCAGTGACGCTGTCCTTGGTGCTGAATTCAGCTCTCTCTGCTTCACAGTCACGGCACAGTGGCAGGCTGAGAAACCCATTTTTCTCCGTTGCGGAGCAGATTTCATTTCAACGCACCAAGGACAACACATGCCAGTCTAAATATGGAAATCCCTCTCTAGATTCTTCAAACTAGCCGGGCTTGTTTATGCATTCAGAGACTGGTACATTAGATTTCATTTCGGATTTGAATGTTTGAGGAGGGATGTTGTGTGATTAGCTTTTTTTCACTCTTTCCTGAAACTTGCATCGAAATGGGAAAAACAAATAATAAAGGCTGTACTTCTGGCATTGGGAAAAGGCTTAATGGGCAAGACTCAGCTACTTAATCTGCATCAGCTGAAGGAAACATTGCTCAAAATGTTTCCAGGGAGGAAATATTCTCGTTTTTTTACCAGGAGAAGGTAGCTCATTGTGAATTTTCAAGGTCGTTCCTTGTGTATATTTAGCTCATTGTATTTTTATCCACACGCCACTTAATTTCAAACACATCAGTTAAAACACAAACAAGTATTTTAAGACTGTTTCACTCCTTCTGATTGCATAACCATGCAGTGCTGCCCAGCCTCAGGACATGCAGAGATTTAGCAAATTTCTTCCTAAATCTCAGCTTCACACATATGCTACTCTTGAGAAGCAGGACTCACTTTTCGTGCCCTAATAGAGGCCAGTGGAAAAGTCACCTGACACTTCCCCCACAGCCTGCCTCAGCTCCCACAGCCATGATGAGGATACCTTAAACAGGTGTTTGCAGTTGGTTTCCACACCATCTCCATCCATGATTTTGGTTTTCTCAAGGCTACAAACTTTCATATCGTTTTTCTTTTGTTTTTTTTTTGACTATGCATCGTCCTCTTCTCCATCATCCGCCAGTGCCACATCTACAGCGGCCAGCTGAGTGTTCGCCATCAGCCTGCCCCGATATGAGAAGCAGAGGAAATCTCTTTCCTCTTTCCTCCTCGCCACCTCTTGTTCCTCCAACCCTGACTCGACCTCAAGCATCACACTAAGGAGACACCAACCTTCCCTGCTACACATCACTGGAGGTCCTGGGTCTTAAGGAGAGATTGGAGGGGACGCACCCACAGCAGGCCATCCATAGCGACTTCTGGATGTCTGGGTTTCGGAACGCATAGATGATGGGGTTGATTACAGAGCAGCAGGTGGCTGGGAGGACCGTGGCGTAGGTGTATATTACGGGGTAGCTGGAGTCAGCCACAATGGAGTACATGGCGAATGGCAGCCAGCACGCCCCGAAGGCACACAGGATGGCCGACAGTGTGGAGACACCTTTGGTGGTGGAGATGGCCACAAACTGGTGCTGCACCGCGATCTGCTGCGCATGGCGGAAGGCGATTTTGCAGATTTGAAGGTAGAGCTGCATCATGAGGGCAAAGACCAATAAGAAAGTGACGGCGAGCGCAACGGCGTTGTTTTTAGTGACCGGTCGGCAGATGCTGCACGTGCTCTCGTCTCTCAGACAGTTCCAGCCCAGCGCCGGCAACAGGCCGAGCGTGAGGCACGACACCCAGATAAAGACCACCATGACGTAGGTGAAGGTGACCGTCCGTTCAGTGTGGTAGGTCAGGGCGTTGTAGAGCGAGAGGTACCGGTCGACCGTGATGGCGAGGATGTTGAAGACAGACGCTGAGAAAGCCGAGATCAGCAGTCCAACGGACAGCAATGTCACAAACTCCACCGAGCTGTCGATCAGATAGGTGAAGACAAAGTTCAAGATGAGGCCAAGGCCAGCCAGGAGATCCGCCACCGCCAGCGATCCAATCAAGATGAACATGGGAGCGCGGAGCGTCGGCGTGTAGAACAGCACAGCGATCACTAAGGCGTTCTCGCAGGAAATGAGAGTCCCCGTCACGCAAAGCGCAATGTCCCACGGGCTGACTTCCTGAAGAGCGACGGCGGTGGTCGCTGGCCGGAGGTCAGGGGTCACAGTTTGCACTACAGGTTCTGACGAAGAGTTGGCGGGGTCCTCAACCAGGCTCCACGAGGTGGAGGAGTCGAAGGGGTCGAGGGGAGAGGAGGAGTTGAGGCTGCTACCGCCACCGCTACTCATGGCTGCCGCCGCGGCCAGGGAGAGAATCATAGCTGGAGAGAGGAAGGAGGGAGGGAAGAAAGGAAGAGGTGAGTCAGGAAAGAGGTGGAGCAGAGGTGCAGGCGTTTGTGTGCAGGAATGTGACATAGCAGAAAGATGGAAACAAAGAGATGAGTTAAAAACACAATGGAAGAAGTTTTCAGAAGAAAGTGGAAGTGAGGACGAGAGGAAAGCAAAAAGAGTGGAAGAGGACGTGAGATGGGGAGAGGAGGGCAAAACAAACGAGAAAAGCAAGGAGGAGGCGGAGGAAGAGGAGGCGGAGGAGGAGCAGGGACGTGTGCTCAGCCATCCCGTTTCACAAAAGAGACCAAATAAGAAAATCACTTTTTTTTCATCCATTCAGAAACTCGTGAAAACGACCGCGCACTTTTACCCTCCAGCATGCACGTCATCAGCAGCTCGTGCACCACGCTGACAGGTAATTATCAGCAGGTGTGAACACACACACACATACACACACAAGGACAAGTCTTCCATAACTGGCAGTACTCTTCCTGCCATTTTGGCTTCAAGCAAACCAACACATACACCAAATGAACAACACTGTCAACAAGATCAGTAATAACAATAACGAGAGTCTAGCTCGCTCCTACCTGACAGAGTCCGGACAACCAAAATCATCACCGACTCTGTCTATTTTTAGAGCGTCTCTAAAAATGGTGCATGACGTCCTGGGGCACGGCTGCCGTCCTATTCACCGGTGGCGTGTGTGAGCGCGAGCCCAGACACGGGCGCGTGCGCCCACATTTTTCATTTAGAAGCTGCTTAATTCGGATTCTGATCCACATATTTGCGGCCGCTGACGCTAATTTTAGCTCAGCAGCAGAGCAGCCAGCGCGCGCGCGCACGCACGCACAGCGACACACACACACTCGCAGCCGCGTGCGCCAAAGAGAGATGTGGAGCTCCATTCATAAAAAAAAAAAAATGCTGTCCCCCTCCTCTCGCACCTCCCACCTCAACGCCCCCACTCACCCCTCCTCCCCCTCCTCTATTCTTCAGTTCTCTTCATTCCTCCTCTCGCAAGCCCACACGCACGCGCACACACCGTCAATGACTGGAAACGTCCAGGGAAGGTCACCACCGTCCCCACCACCACCACCACATACACCAGCATCAAAAGCCCCGCAGCTGAGAGGGGGAGGAGGAGGAGGAGGGGGCTCACATCCCTGCGGTAACGGGGAGCTCGTGAGCCCCAGAGCCCAGCACACAGCACTCACGAGCCTTTTTTTTGTTTGTTTTGTTTTTTGTTTTTACGCCCCTGCCGAGCCTCCAGCACTGAGGGCAGGCTGTGTGCAGCAAAGACAGAACAAAAGCTTAAATACCTTCATCGGTTTCATTCAGCTGCAGCAGTGCAGTCCCTGAGCCAGCGCGCGAGAGCGAGAGAGCGAGAGGGAGGGAGAGAGAAAGTGGGATGGATGAAGACCACGCCACACACACACAAGCACACACACATTTACCAGCTCCGTGTCTTCTTCTTCTGCTTCTGCTTCTCGTATCTCTCTCCGTCCTCCTTTATTCTTCACTTCCCGTGAACGTGTTTTCAGTATTTTCTTCTTTCGGGGTTTCCCCCTGTCTCTCGCGCGCGCTTCTCCCCCAGTCAGCGGCGCGCGCTATATTCCTCCGTTGGCATGGTTATTAGCCTTCTGTCGGCTGCTCCGTCCTCGCGCTGCACATCCTCGGCCCCTCATTGGACGCGCTTGTCATTCTCCTCGTCTGACGTCAGAAGTCTCCGCTCCTCCAGTCACCGTCATCATGGTCTGTGTGTGAATCACGGAGAGAGGGAGAGTGGATTAACACATCGTCACCTTCACTGAGTTTATGTGTTTGTATGTAGGTCAGGTTTCAGAGCTCCTTATCGCTATTACTCTATCTTTATTAATATTGTTGTTGTTAAACAGCGGGGTGAGCGTGTGCATCAGAGTTGGTGTTATCTGTCCTGGACTTGGAGGGGTGACTGAGCAACACTGTGCATCACACAGTGACTGATAGCCCGCTCAAAAGGACAGTGGGAGGCTTTGCTGCCTCCCACTTTAGGTTCTGCGTCACCAGGTGTGCTGATAGAAATAAACAAACAGCTACAATATGAAAATAAATAGCTGAAAGTGCATGTGCAAAAAGTAGCTGCCCGTGTGGTCTGCAGCATAACCAGTCAAACTGGCTGTTGGTGCTGTGCAATACCAAGTAATTAGTATTACTGATACCAATACCGATACTGATACGTTCAACTTACAAAGGTGTGTAGTGTTGATCCGTGTGTCAAGATTTATGAGTGTTACTTTCCGCAGTAATTAGTTTATTAGCACTTAGTAATCTACAATAAAGCATATAGTTTTAAACTGGGTTTTTAGCCCAGCAGGCTACATGTTGAACCTTCAGGATTAAATGAAGTATCAATCCTATCGCGCTAGCATCGATCCATACTATTGATATCTGGATCGATCCACCCACCTCTAAGTAGGGATGGGTACCATTATGGCACTGGTTCTGACATAAACTGTAGTAACCAGACCGAAAAGCAGCGCACATTTTGGTGCTTTATTTCGGTACTTTTTTTTTACTGAGATGTCATTGTCATGGTTCTGGGTCAGTTTGACCCAGTATTTTGAGTTGTTATGTTTTGGTGTGTTTTTGCATTTTGGATTCTTTTCTTATTATGATGATGATGATGATGATTATAAATCTATGTTTCAGTTATTCTTGTTTAGGGATTAGTTAGTAGGTTTTGTGTTCTCATGTTTATTGCAGGTTTAGTTCAGTGTCTAGTCTGTCTCAGTGTCGTGTCTGCGTCTTTGTGCAGTGTTTTCTTGTTTCCTGTTTTATTGTGAAGGTCTGAGTCTCATGTGAGTGTGTTCAGATTACCTCCCTTGTCTCGTCTCGTTAATTACTCCCAGCTGTGTCCACCACCTGTGTGTAATCTCCCTGTGCTTCTCTGTGTGTATTTAAGTCGTGTCTTCTGTCATTGTAGTTGCTGGTCCGTCTGTGTATCCACCATGTCTCACTCGTGTGTTTTCCCTGCTGTCAACCGTCGTCTGCCTCTGCTCGCTCTCATTCTTGTTCAGGTTCGTGTCCAGTAGTTAGTTTGTTCCCAGTATAGTTTAGTCCTTCCTCCATTTGCCATTTGTCCATTTTTATTTTGTATTTAATAAACCACCTTCACACCTTTACAAGTGCCTGCATTTGGATCCTCCTTTATTACTTCCACACAGCTCATCTCACTCGCCGTGACAGTACAGACCCGCCAGATATGGATCCAGCGGCATTCAGCCCACCCAGGGAGCTTCAGGAGGTCGTTATCGACTCTGCTTCAAAATTAATCAACCTGTGGTTAGAGCATGAGGGAGAAGAGTTTCTTTACACTGTGGAAGCCAACCTACAACAGCTTATTTCCAGTTATCCCTGGCTATTGGACTCTCTGCACCCGCTCGTACAGAATTTTGTTCTCCACGAGCTTCACCTTCACCCCCCGGCCGCTACCGTCTCGGCCATCTCCGAGAAAAAAGCGACGTTCGCGCCGTCAGCATGGCACCCCACAGCCGGATGTCGGGACATGTAAGCAACCGGCAGTGGTGAGTGAGAGGGACACTGTTTCTGCTTTGTCAGATACAAGGACTATTTATTCTGGGGCTATTTTTTGTGTTTCCACCGAAGATAATAGTGGTTTTTCTGTTTCATCTATGGCCATTGCTTCAAAGAGCCCACGCTCTGTGTTAATGACTGTTTCCACTCTGTTGTTGCCAAGCCTGGAGTTACTGAGACAGTCTCAGAGACAGTCACTCCCTCTAGGGCCTCACCAGAGGCTGGGTGTCAGTCACCAGCCAACTCTGGACCCCTAGAGGTCAAGACACCAGCGCCAGCAGCTCCACCGGAGAACTCACCAGAACAGTCTCGGCTCTCAGCACCCCCTGAGAGTTCAAGTGAGTTCACCCGTCCGCCTCCGTCCTCTGCTGAGTGTATTGAAGAACTCTTTCTGCCCTCCGAGGACTGCATCCCACTGTTGCTGCCTGAGTCAAGCCACTGTGCTGCTCAGCCCCAGCCAGTGTCCACACTGCCAGAGGTCTTCGTACCTGCTGCTTCAGTGTCTGTCTCCACTGGAGAACCCAGACAGCCTCAAGTCTCATCAGCTGGGGGTTCGGGAGAACCCACCCAGCCTCAAGTGTCATCAGCTGGAAGGCCCGAATCGCCCGTCCAGCCTCAAGTTTTGTCAGCTGGAAGGCCCGAGTCGCCTGTCCAGCCTCAAGTGTCATCAGCTGGAGGGCCCGAGTCGCCCGTCCAGCCTCATGCCGCCTGCAGCATCCCCGTCGCCGCCTGCAGTATCCCCATCGCCGCCTGCAGCATCCCCATCGCCGCTGGCAGCATTCCCATCGCCGCCTGCAGCATCACCGCTGCCGTCAGGTTCCGCAGCCGCCACGCTGCCATCACTGAAGGCCCAACCTCACCTCCCCAGGTCTCTGAGTTCACAGAGGGGGAACAAGAACGAGCTCAATCTGAGAGCCGCCATTGTTCAGACTCAGGTGTGAGGCGTGAGGTGTCACACCATGAGACTCCACTCACCCCTTTGACAGAGGATATGACATCACCGGCTGACGAGATCAGAAGGACAGAGTTTATCGACCTACTGACCCCAAAGGAACATAAGTCATCCAAGGCAACTAGCTTAAAGAAGGAACGGTGGGAAGGACAAGTGTGTGGGGAAATGTACGCCGACCGAGACGCTCTGGCAGAAATCATGCAAAGAGTAATAGCAGTGGAGCAGAGAGTACTAGAGGAAGATCTGGAGGAAGAAGACCAAGGCAACGAGACTTCATCAGATGAAGGGACAGAGAATGCTGAAGGAGCTGAGGCAGGACCTGGAGCTGACTCAGACACAATGCCTTTGCGCTCAGGTAAGTCAGTGACTAGAGATCCAAGGAAAGGGAAGAAGCCACATGGGCCAAGACAACGGCAGTCGGTATTCCAGAACAAAGGAGAGTCCAAAATGCAGGGGACCAAAAGGAAGGAAGTGAACTTCAAGGACGGCCCAGATCACCCAGAATTGTCTATGTCCCTGATAGTGGGCCCAAAACATGAACCAGTCTATCGAGCGTACAAGGTAGGAAATGGAAATAATGGTCAGGCAGGCATTGGACAATGCTTGGTGGCAAGCCACCCAAATTCCAAACGTCTGGTACGCACCAACCTGTAAAACATATTGTATCACCTGTCTGTCAAACGATGCAGTGATACTAGAACATGAAGAAATATCGAGAACACATGGCAGAGAGACAACTGATCACCCTGACGCAGTTGCTGAACTTTCAAAGCTGCCTGTCACACTGTGGTCTGCAGGACCCACGGACGTGGGCCTAGCTACCTGTTCGCCTGTGCTGTTCCAGCTCAAGTC